CAGACATAACACGACCCCTTTTTCACAGGCATTTATAATTTATACACAATGACGCGACAGATAGACATGATTATCAGACAAGAAGTGCAAAAGGGCATGCAATTAATTGCTTTCAACTTATATGCATCATCTTCCATTTCAACATTATTTTTATTAAGTGGCTTGTAGTGTGGGCAAGCACCCCAGCTCACACTTACATTTTGTATACACTGAGCTTAATACAATCTTTTTTATTTTCACATTCATAACATCTTTAAACTAATGATTACTGACATATAAATTCAAGTGGAAAATCCAAACTACAAGCACTCTTTGTATAAGCATTCTTCAAGTTACACAAAGCCTACAAGCCATTCCACTCCTACCTATGCCTACTTTTAGGAAAAGGCTGCATAAGGTGCCTTTTTATTAGATTATTCACAGCAATCAAACCATATTGTGCATACAACAGCAGATCAGTCTCCTGCTGTGGTCGAGTAGCACCTGTTTTCAAATTATTTCTGAAATAGTTTTACTTGCTTAAATCCCCCACTTTGCTGAGCTTCAGCAGCAGTCAGTCAGTCAGTCCAGTGTGGCTCTCCACGCTTAGACACACCGAAGGTGCCACCTTTGTGGAATTTTACGGATAAAGCCTGCCACGATTAGAAGTTCTAGTCACAGAAAAACCCACGCCAGAACACGCCTGCAGCCCACACCTGGTGCATGCCAGTGCTAAAGGGACATCAATGACGCTTTTAGCTGATGTGACAATGGGACTATCTGGCCACCTCACCTTGGTCAGAGAGACATGACGCAATGCGAGATGAACAGCGGACGTCTCTGAAGATGACGCAAAGAGCATCAGAACTAAACAATCAGCTTGCAGAGATGCCAGGTCCAGTTATACGTACAGACTCCTGTGTTTCTAAGCTACACTTAAGGCTGCAGAACTGTCACAATTACTCTCTCTTCCTACAATTTTATCTGGAAATGAGTATTAATCAAATCTGTGAGCAGGAGAACTATATGCATAGATTTTTTTCAGATTCCTGAAGCTTCACCTTTAACAGGTACGTGCCAGTGGATGACACTGGTATCTCACTGTCAAAACAAAGAACTTCACTTGCAGTTAAGTGCTTGTAAGAAACACTTTTTTCCCCTGGTACGGCAGAAGGCTTGGAACGCACGAGTATTAGCAGGCTAAAAGTGACTGTAACGACAAACAGATAAAGTAGGGAAATGTTGAACTGTTTGACAGCTTCCTAACTCCAGAGCACCAATCTGTTGGGAACTTCCCTGGCTTTTTACACATACGTGCAAATAACCATTTGGGTTAAAACCTCTCCTGCTAAACTGACTTCGTTGCAAAGCAAGTTGGAAAGTTTGAAAAATACCAAGTGAACCATTTTTGAGCACTATTGCTATGGAAATTTACTTATTTGTTGTGTTTTAAACCAGTTCCAACATTGCCTTATGAGTGCACTACTTGAATAGTATTCAGCAAATTTTTAAGACCCCTGTCCACTAAAAGGCATCACATCCAGAACAGAGATCTTCAAAGCCCAGTCTCAGCTTTCACTAACATTTGACACCCCCACATTTTCTACATTCAATATCCCAGAAGACCAGTTTTGCACATGCTCTGAAAATAACCATGTAAAAGGCACTAGTATTGATCTCCCACACCTCCCTGGAATTCACAAGCAGGTCGTCTTCTCTCTCCCATCACAGGAGTTCATCCTTTACAACAGGCTTCATATAAAAAGCATGTTCTTCTACACCACAACTCAGTGATTAGTGCAAGTTACTAAAAAAAAAAAAATCGACTTAATTTCCACCTTCTATTACAATTTTCTCTAGCCTGTTTTCCCCACTTCCCAGGTTAGTAACGTAGGTTGGGGACCTCCTCATTCCCTTCTGTTGAGCCTGTTCCCATTTGGCAGAGTAAGCATTCACCACCAGACTACGTGCATGCACGAGCCCACATATACCACAGGACACCCAGTTCTGCGTACGGGTGGAGGGGAGGGCTGGAAGGGGGTCCCGAGCTCCGGGCTGCTGCTCCAGTGAAAAGTTTACATATCTTTGACAGTCACCGGGAAAGAACCACAGTTCCTTGCTCCCCTTCTTGAAAGGGAAGCCGAGCAGGCAGTGAAAAGCTGTAATGGAAATCTGAAACAGAAGGAAGCACATCTAACACACAGTAAGGTGGGGTGGCAGCAAATCCTCACAAAGATGCAGGATTTAAACTTGGATGCCTCTCACTAGTTTCCCACTGGCTAAGCCTAGTCACGCCCTCGCCCAGTGCAACAGCAACCTGAAGTCCACTTGAAGCTGTGTATCTTCCCTCATCCATTGCACAAGCAGTCAAGAAATTTAGTTCCAAAATTTTGCACTGCATCACTAAAGAGAGTCCTAAATTAACAGCGGCAAATGCTCAGCAGTGTGGTGCCTACACCCTTTAATGCCGCGCTTTTCAGTCAACAGCCTTGGGGTAGCTTAGAAATACTAATTTAAGAAGCCATAAATATTGTCAGTCTTAAATTCTGTTCGGATGCTGGAGTTCAAATAAGTTGGTTTAATTGTGACATTTCCCATTCTGCTGGGCCTTTGGCCTTACACACTTTCTTTCTTTGATTGCCATGCAGATTTCACATACTGTTAGCATTCTATTACACCAACAGCACATACTATGAGTAAGTTCTTTGAATGGTAAATAGACTCTGAAATTTTCAGTTTCAGATAAAAGCCTTTCAGCAGAATCTACAGAAGCCAGGCTTCTTTTGAAATTACGTGAAAGGTGAGAAAGGTGCTTGAGTTTCTGATCTCTTCTGCCTTTAAAATAGCACAGAGGTGCCTTGTATTGTGCAGCAGGCAGCAACAATATTAAAAACTGACTTGAAAACAAAGTATTTCGGAGTTGGATTTGAATATCAAATTATGTATCAGTTCCAGGGAAGGACCCAGGTGTCATTGTAGATGACTGTATCAGTCCAATGGTCAGCTATTGAAAAAACATGGCAAAAACATATGAAGAATGGAGCAGAAGACAATAATTTTTCACTTTACTGTGGACCTATAGCAAAAGCATACTAATCAGTTGAAGGGTAGAGAGAAGGTAGACTAAAATTCTGCTGACCTTGTGTTAAAACAAGAGTGAGAAAATAATAAATGAAGTTAAAAAGGTGTGTAATGCTTTCTCCAGGCATTATGATTACACTGTGGAACACATTATCAATAACGGCTGTTCATGTCCAAGTACTTAAACAATATTCTGAAAAAGCTCAAGTATTTTTTTATGGCTAACAGTAACAGTCAAAGTAAATTTGGATAGCTTGAATTTTTTGCAAAAGACAATAAAGCCAATGAGTCAAGTTTTACACCAATCTGTAACAACCAGGCGTGGAGAAATAGAGCCCTCATGTTGGGGACAAGTAATTTTCCAGGTGGGTGGCAGACATTTCATCTCTCCTTTGAGGGTACCAACCACTCTTCCCAATGCCAAGGACGAAACCTGTCTCTCAATGTTGCTGACTGCCTGCTGGCTTGTATCTTTACACTGTCAGAATTCAGACCCAACACTATTTACTGTTCTAACAAGCACACTCACTCCTAACCGTTGGAAATGCAATTTTTTAGTGGGCATAAAACAAGGAAAATGATCAGGGAGAGTAATTCCTCAAAAGCAATGCTGTAAAGCTGCACTAGGCACGATCCAGTCTGGCTGCAGTGATGCTCTGAATTCACAATTTCAGATTTGATAATTAAAATCCTGTCTTGTGCCAATATTTCTACCTTTATATTATTAAGTTTTCATACGCTCAGAGAGCAACAGAGGTGGATCTACCTAAAAGATGTGGGATGCCACATGGGAAGTCCTCTGAAACTTCCCTAGAAGTGACTGGAAACATCTCTCCAGCAACGCTCTTCAGCCCAACTAGTCCAAGCAACTGCACAGCAGAAAATCACAATTAATGTGTAACAAAACACATGCACAGACTGATAGATGTAACATTACCAGTATGCAAAAAATTTAAATGAAACAAATTAAGAACTCCAAACATGAAATTCAGATTGTTTATTGTAAACAGAATAACTCTAGCACTCTGTCATACTGGCTGTGTCACATGCACCCAATTCCACATCAACTGCTTAAAATAGCACTTGCAAAAATTACAATTATGTAATAATAATTTATGGTTTCTTACATAAACTAATCAACAAGCACTAAAATTGAATTACAGTGTATTCTAGGTAGTTTTTTATTGCTTGTAGACACTGCAGCTTTGGATCCATGAAAATGAACCCATTAGTATGCCTGAGTTTATCAAAATTTACTGCTATATCAAACTCAGAAACTGTAAAATGCTGGAGAACACTTAAAAGCAATTAAGAGTTGCTGGAAAACTACATGGGTTTCCACATCCAGTCACAGAACTTTAAAATTCTACATTTTTTCCCCTCTGGAAAACATGATTTGTGAGCTTGTGTTAAATACACTGCTATTCCAATTTATTTATATAATTTGTTAAAATTAGAGTCGATAGTACTTCCATGAATATATATATATATCTATTTATTTTTACACACGATAAAAGCCATCTCATTTTATTCACCTTAGGAGTGGTATGTTTAAATACTAAGTCCCAAAATATATACTTTATAATATGTTGTCAAAACTTCTAATATATACAATACAAATACTTCTACTAAAGGAAAACTATAAACAAAGGCAAAATGCAAGAGGTTAAAAAGCCCATTTTATGTGAAGGATCCATGAAAAATGGTGTGAACAGACACCTTTACTGGTTTTGCTTATATGATGTTTAATTTTTTTTTTCTCCTCAGGCTACAAAAAAAAAGCTAGCGGCCTTCCTCGGCAACAGGCTACATCACAAACTATCATCAAATTTATTGAAAAGATATTGAAACCCGTACTGTAACCTTTAAAACAACTCTTAAATAATTGTATTTATTCAATTAGAAGAGACTCTCAGATAAACACAACTTAAGGCCCTTACCCTGCCAAGCGTTCATGTAATTTGGCTTCAGAGCCAGCGTAAGGACGAACACTGATCCAGCGACCAGAATAGCCCCATCGACTATACCAGGATTCTGAGGTATGACAACGTGCGTGTCCCCTCTGGGACTTAGTTTCAGGTTCTTTCAGTAGGAAGCAGACACTCAGTAATACTCCCGATGAGCAGATTTTGTACCCTCAGTGCTTTCCATGCTCTATCCCGTCTGAGTAATTACAATCCATTTTATGCATTAAACAAAGGAGAACTTGATAAGATGCTCCCTTACCTTCTTCTATTTGGGGGCTGGACCAAGCATAAGACCACTCTGCATAAGTCAGTAAACTTGGTGAAGATCAGATGCCAGGTATTGTTCTACCATTTTACTAAATTATGGAATATATATATACATGCAGCCTTTCAGCATAATTGTTGATCCTTCTGGGTTTTGTGCAGCCTTCTTAAAAGAAGCAGGAACAAACATTTTGTGATGTAACCTGAACCGCACCCTGTGCTACAGCAGCACTGCACACCGCTGCTGCACCGTCCCAACGCCCTCCTGAAGGACCAGAAGGACCCGCACACATCGGTGTATCTGATCCGTTACAGGGCCCATATTTGACATTCTTGAGTCAAGAACTAACGTGCGCCTACAGTTATTTGCACTAGTCAGTACTTTGCTGGACTGAGACCTAACACAACCAATGAGGCAAATTAGACTCAGTTCTCCATCAGCACATGCGCAACTGAAAACAAAAAATGACACCAAATAAAGTATCTTATACACCAAATGGAAACAATTCACAGTAACGCTGAAAAACTGAACAGGATGCTGACAATATGAAGAGACTGGGACAACACTTTTGGTAACAAAAATAAGATGTACTATTAGAGTGTTTCCAGCATTTTACTAGTTTTAATATAAAATGTCCCCAAATTTGTATAGAAAGATTAAAACCATGCCCATATCTTCAATTATTCTCATTAAGACAATTCTCTCACAACTGTGTTGTCAAATTTCTTTTTTTTTCTTCCCCTCGCTGGTCTTCATAAAACTTAAATAGAAAATGTTGGTTGCATTAAGGATCAATTAAAAAAGTATCATTCAACACGTCACTTCAAAAAAAAAGTGAAAGTCTCTGTTTCTAAGAAAAACTGTTGACCCCATCCCAAAAAGGACCTACTTTTCTCATGCCCTCCAGCCCCCAATAAGACAATTACTGGGATACTAAACAGTGTTTTTCAGGAGTAACAAGGGTATTTCCACCAATTTTGTTTGCTCTGGAGGGTTATTTTATCATCAAAATGAAAATTTGAAGGGATATACTATTTTAAAAATATACTGCATCTACAAGTTTTTTATTACTATTGTTTCAGCTGATTTTGGTTTTCAACAGGTGGTCTGTAATATAAATGACACATGCCCACAACGGATTTTTATATACTCTCTATCCCTAACACACAGCTAATGTCAAATGAACCAAGAAGGAATTTGGGACTTTCATAACGGACAGAACCATTTATCCTAATGCTCTTTAATAATTTTGTTCATCACGAAGTCCCCTGAAACCATGTCAGTACTGATCGTTCGCATTTCTTCATCCATTGGGGTTCTTCACAGTTTTGCAGCCAT